AAAAAAAAAATGCTACTCTATTCTCGGACTGGACTCGAAGAAGTTCCATTCTTCTCTCCCATGTTGGGTAGGTAATCACGAGCCATGAGACACGCAAAGACAGTCATGACCATTTTCGGTTTCACTTCTGTGATGTCCTCTGGCAAGGCATAGATGCGGGCACCAGCTTTACGTGCCATGGATATTGCATATTTTGCATTGTCCATTCTTTCCTGGTAATAAATTTCAATTTTATTAATTAATTAACTGAAATAAAGAATTGGTAGAATTAATGTAGTCTTTGAATATCTTAAGATTGTTTTTGCTCACCTCTTCAGTATCACCCGATTTAACTTGGCTGTAATTAATAGAATCAGGTTTAATGGCATCAATTAAATCGATAACGGGATGGGCAGTGGCTATTATTGGATCTTGGAAACTTTTGATAAAGGAATTTTTCCCAGCACTTTTAATCTAAAAAGAAAAAACTTTACTCAATATACTGGAAACTAAATTTAAAACACTGCAGTTTTTCTTGTGATTATTCATCATCATTGTCCTGACATGTTCAATTTATATTTTTTAAATGTCAAAATGATCAAAACAAAGTATCAGACATATAAAGCTAATTTGCAGAAACCTAAAGCATATCTTACTTAAACAAAATATACATGAAAAAAATTTTCACACATTTTATATATATATATAAAAACCATACTTAAAGGTTTTAAATATACAGTGGTGCCTTGTATAACATACGACTCAAATAACGGACCCTATAGTTTTAATAGAGAAAACTTCTGGTGGATCTTGAATTCCACCATTAGTTCTGATCTCCATTGAATAGTGTTTTGATGTCAAAAATGTACTACTGATTTCAGTAATTTTAATTAAATTACAGATAAAAATTTGAAGGAAACTAAATAAATTTTAGCATGACTTTCTTGGTCAGATTAGATATCAGTTTAATATTGAAACTGCCAATAATTATTCAGAAAGTGTAAAATTTCTAGAAACAGCAATTTAAATGATATTAAATAACAATCTGTATTATAATAAACAATAGTTGCAAATGCAATTAAATATAAAACAAAATAAACTGAAATACTTGCATATCAAAAATCTGTATTATAATATAAAAACAAATAATTATTCTATTAAAATTTTGACTGTGCATTTGCTTTAATTTTGATTTATATCACCACGAGCCTAGAGACACTTGCAGCCTTTTCATTCATGCACATCTTGGAATCAATCAGGCCAGCAATAAAGCAACTACATCAGTGCTTCTCTACTGGGTTGGTATGGACTATTTAAAGGGGTCATTACATGAGAGATTAAGAACCATGAACTAGATGCTAGATAGAATAAATACAATGCATGTCAGAATATCCATAAAAATTTCTAGAAATTGATCCAGACCCAAACCCTGAATAACAAAAATCACAAAACACAATATAGAAATAATTTTTCTTTTATTTCCAGACAAAGTATTGACATGGATTTAGCATATAATATAAAGGAATGTTGGCATTTTATGATGGAATGAGAGAAATAGGTTCTATGGTACAGAATTCTTTGCTATGTATCAAATATCCATATCAGAAAATTGGTGAAAACTAATGTATAAAAAGTATTAATTCAAAGCCATTAAAAAATTCTCTCTCAAAGTGTTTTTGTACTAAATGATAACCACAAAAAAGTGGAAGAGAGTGTATATTTATATGAATATAATATTAAATAAAACATCATCAATATATGACAAACTATAATATTGACATATATCAATATATAATGTTGATAAATGATATCAAAACTATACACTGATAAAGAATATTGATCTCCGAGAGTTAAAGTTTAGTGATTAAAAAAACTGGCACTGTGGACGTTAAAATTCTTTGTTCCCCAAAAAAGCGTGAGGCACTCTAGTCCCATTCGTGATTTTAAAACACGCATTATTTAAAACTCTGGTTTGATTTTTTTCAAAATTATAGTACTTCATGGATGACTTTGAACTCATTGCACGATACTTACGACAACATAAGAGAGAAATATAAGAATTAATGTTATATATTTAACAGTAGAGTTAATAAAATCATATACGAAACCTTTTCAGAATACAAACTTTGAAATATCCCAAATGTTAAAATTTTGAGCCCGGTTGAGTTCAGAATATTTGAAGATTGCCTAAAATCAAAATATAATCTTAACATATCAAACTTCATAACTGTAAATTCCGATAAATTTGCAATTTCAGAGTTCTCAAATTTTAATGCCATGTTAATTCCTACTTTCTCTCTTTTGATTAATCAATCTGCCAAGTTATATATATATATAATCTTCCATAATTTAAGAATATGATGAATGCTTCTTTACATATCAAACAGAAGTACTATGTAGCTAAAATTAGAAGAACCGTATGATTATCTTGTTCTACCACACATTTCTCTTATCCCGATTACTTTAAATCTAAAAATTTACATGATAATGAATATACTGGGCTTCTCCAATTCTATCTCTGATGTGGCAAAATTTCAAACTCTTTACGGATCTAGTGGCAAGATTAATTTAAAAAAAACAAAAAAAAAAATGCTACTCTATTCTCGGACTGGACTCGAAGAAGTTCCATTCTTCTCTCCCATGTTGGGTAGGTAATCACGAGCCATGAGACACGCAAAGACAGTCATGACCATTTTCGGTTTCACTTCTGTGATGTCCTCTGGCAAGGCATAGATGCGGGCACCAGCTTTACGTGCCATGGATATTGCATATTTTGCATTGTCCATTCTTTCCTGGTAATAAATTTCAATTTTATTAATTAATTAACTGAAATAAAGAATTGGTAGAATTAATGTAGTCTTTGAATATCTTAAGATTGTTTTTGCTCACCTCTTCAGTATCACCCGATTTAACTTGGCTGTAATTAATAGAATCAGGTTTAATGGCATCAATTAAATCGATAACGGGATGGGCAGTGGCTATTATTGGATCTTGGAAACTTTTGATAAAGGAATTTTTCCCAGCACTTTTAATCTAAAAAGAAAAAACTTTACTCAATATACTGGAAACTAAATTTAAAACACTGCAGTTTTTCTTGTGATTATTCATCATCATTGTCCTGACATGTTCAATTTATATTTTTTAAATGTCAAAATGATCAAAACAAAGTATCAGACATATAAAGCTAATTTGCAGAAACCTAAAGCATATCTTACTTAAACAAAATATACATGAAAAAAATTTTCACACATTTTATATATATATATAAAAACCATACTTAAAGGTTTTAAATATACAGTGGTGCCTTGTATAACATACGACTCAAATAACGGACACTGTGAAAAACGGACTTTCTGTTTGGCCATTATGTGACTCGAATAATGGACTTTCCATTCGGCAGTTACATGAGGCAAACAACAGTCTTTCTGTGAACAAGTGCGAATGATGTTTCCACTCTTTTGCCATTGCCAATGACAATCTGCTATTTTTATAATATATTAGTATTATTAGAATATATTATTAGTATATATGAAGTACAGAGATCCTGTTGGGATTCAGCTTGCTCCCTTGTTTATTACGTACATCACCTCAGTGCAGGGTATTTACATTTATTCAAGTGTTGTGCAAATCATGGCTTCTAAAAAAACAGAAAGGTGATTTCAATTGAAACAAAGCAAGAAATCATCAGGAGTGAAAGTTGGCAAAAACTTCCTTGTCAAATGGGGAGAGGTTAAGGAGTTTACCAATACTCATTATCCAAACAGAGCTGTGGCCAACAGGATCAATGATCTCTACAATGACACCCTTGCCCGTCATTTCCGACAGGTGTTGAAAAAGAGAGAGAAACAGACCAGCTTGGACATGTTTTTCAAGAAGTCAGCAGGGAAAAAACAAAGGATGGAACAAGAGGAGTTGACCCTGCAAGCTCCGGTAACCTCTCCTGAATATGAATCCGATTAAAAAACGATAAAAAAAGACCCACTGCAATGCGTAAAAAGTCTATCTGTATGAATGTGGAAAGAAAGTGTTCCTCCACTTCACATCATCTGACTACTGGGCATAATTGGTGACTGTTCCATTTTCATTTTTTTTATGGTACAGTATGGTTATTTTATGCTGTGGAACGAATTATGTTTTAACATGTATTTCTATGGGAAAATGCATTTCGTATAACGGACTTTTCACTTAATGGATGTGCACCTGGAATGGAGTAAGTACATTATACGAAGCACCACTGTACTATGTCCTTAAGTCCATTTACATGTGTGAACAATGCACAATATGATATGCAGTAATGAATGTAGCATGAAAACATAGTAAATAGGAAACACACATTATAACATGAGAAAAAAAATGAGAACACGTGAATGAGCACAAGAAAAACACATTTTACTGTCTGTGCTCAATGAGCACATTAGCACTTCATGCTTTCTATACATGCTATTCATATATGTAGGGTGTCCTTTTTTACTAAAATCAGTTAAGCTCTACAACTTTGTAATTGACTTATCTGTATCACACATCATTTTTGAGATAGGAATGCTAACTTCCTAATTGTACCACTAGGGATGCTACAAGCAGTCTCATCTTATAGTAGTGACTATTCACTACAATTTTACATCATTCATAACTAGCTATCTGCAATTGTCAGTTATTGGTTGTATAAGGACTTTATTATGAACCTGTATAAACAACAGATTAATAATGTAATAAATTCAATAATTAGAACCAATGGGATCGGTATATTTCAATAAACACTATAAATAAATATTTTCAATTAAAAAGATCTATTTTTTAAACATAAACTAATCCAATATATAGTAATAAATAAACTATACTGTGAGATTTTTATTGGGCTATAATTAAGGTGACCAATCATCCTCCTTTTGTAAGTTCTGTCCTCCCTCGAAAAGTGTCCTCCTACATGTCCTCCTTTTTGATATTTGAAGACTAATCTGTAAATCTCCATATTTGATCAATGCCAAACCGATCCGTTGCGTGTGATGTGATATGACGTGTTTGTATTTAACATGACGATTCATCAAGGCTCTGTATAGTGAGATAAGATGCAATTATGAGATGCATGCTCTTCACACGGGAGACCTTGAGAGAGAGAGAGTGCGCGCACAAATGGCTTTGTTTACTTCTTATCGAAACACAACATGGCACCTATGCATGNCAAGATGCAATTATGAGATGCATGCTCTTCACACGGGAGACCTTGAGAGAGAGAGAGTGCGCGCACAAATGGCTTTGTTTACTTCTTATCGAAACACAACATGGCACCTATGCATGCAGTACAGATTATTACAGTGTATTACTGTTGCAATGAATAAGATGTTTTTTATTTACAATATTTTTTCCTTCAATTTATTAGTGTCCTCCTTTTCATTGTAAAAAAGTTGGTCACCTTACTATAATATAAATTAATTTTGTAATTTAAACTAAAGAAAGGTGATTAAGTTGCAATCTTATGTTAAATTTAATAATTAAAAACAAATTAATTAATTAATAATATTCTTAAATAAAGGATCAATCCAGAATGGGACTTGAACCTACAACTTCTGTTTACCATGCAGATTCATTGCTAATTACGCCAACTGGATCTCCTCATCTGATCTTTGCTTCCAGACCAATTAACTTAGAATGTATAACCATACCTTCTAAATTAATTGGACTGGAAGAAAAGATTAGAGGGTCCAGTTGAATTAATTGGCAATGAATCTGCATGGTAAGCAGGAGTTGCAGGTTTGAGTCCTGCTCTGAATTGATCCTCTCATCCAGACTATTCTAAATCAATTATTTATTTCTAATTATTAAATTAAGCACAAGATGGTGGCTTAACTCCCTACCTTTAGTCCAAATTATGTAANACCACTTTTTTTTCTCCCAGCGGTTCTAAATTATTTAAATTAATTAATTTATTTATAATTATTAATATTAATAAGAGATGGCGCCTAACGCTTACCTCTAGTGCCAAATTAATTTCATAATTTATTTAGTAATTAGCCTTAAAACTAGCCCGATGGATTTACGGCATACATTTGGTGATTAACCAATCAATACTGTTCAAATAAATGCTAATGTAAATTCTGATATAAATATGAAGATAAACACTTAATTCAATTGAAGAGAAGTTCTGAATCTACTAACTCAGTAGTTATTCTCTTGAACTGACAATCCAACATCATTCTGCTCTTCAGAATATCGTCTGATCTTTTTACAAGCTATTTTTTTTTATTCATTTCTGCAACCAATTTTTCACAATTACCTATTAAAAGCAAGCTAAATATTTCTTCTTCTTGCTGACAGAGCTTAGAACTGATGACAGTTCCTATTTATCTTGAGAAACAACTGTTTAATTGAAGTGACAAGCAAAACTAAATATCAAAACATTAGCATACTTAGTTTCATTTGTCACTTCAATTTAACAGTTGGTTTTTACATTTACTTGAATGTAAGATGACTTATTTTCAAGATTAACCTGTTATTTCTGGAAATAAAGTGCATCTTCCATCGGATGTAATATGTCATAATTAGTATCATATCTTATTTCTCTGTCACTAGAAAGTCTTTTGGTGGTGTTTGTATTTGTTATATATTTATGTTCTAAAGATCCTACTAATTCTATGTACATTGCTGCATCATTCCTAACAACTGCAGTACTCAAAACAATATGGCTTTGGTAATGCTCTCCTATTTCTCACACCCAGCATATCAGTTATAAAATTTGCTAAAGCATATGAATTTAACTTCACCTGAATAGGGAAATTTCAAATGTTGAATAATACACTGATAATAGAAACAAACTTATGAAACTTGTCTAAAAATCCAAATTCAAGTAGTATATAATTACCATTAAAGCTTCACATGTTACTCCAGCACCAACGGGAGCAATCTGTTTTAGTAAATGTGTGTATATCTCCGAGTCCTAAAGAAAAGATTGTATCAAAAACATTAACTTTCATTACTGTTAAAGATCTAAGATAGCATTTATAAATGAATAATTTGATAACAAAGCCAAACAATTTCTGGATTAAATTGAGCTATATTATTGCTACTGTTAATAATTTAATACTATTGTTTGGCATTAATATAACTGTTGGGTTTTGAGATGTTTATATTCATATATTTACTTTGATATCATTTGTGAAGTTTGTGATTCGACGATTGCTGCCAGCTCTGTCCAGATGATAATTGACCCAACGTAACAATATACTTTCTGGAGACAGCTTCATCAGGTCAGACATTTCTTCTCCGGGTTTCACGAGTTGAACTAATCCAGGACAATGTTCCAAAGTAATTTGATTGAACAGACCAATCTAAATGAATAAAAAATCATTATTGAAACTGAAAAATTTCATTTTAATTTCAAATCATAGCAAACATTTTTTTGTATGGAATATTTGTAAATATTCCTATTAAATTGTTAATTACATTTACTTAATTTTAAAACTTGAATTAACATTAATTTTTATTCAATCAAACAAAATTTGGGTTAATGAAGTTGATTAAGTATGTAAGTAAATGCCCTAAGTGACATATTATCTATTATGAAATTAAAAATTTAAATACTAATAATTATATAAAATTGTAAGATGAACTATCCGAGAAAATACTTTATTATTATGACATCAATGTATTATTATATATATAGCTCAGTGACAATTATAGATTAAAATTTAATTACCTAACCTATATTTCATTCAATAAATTAAGAATGTTTTTAATTAAAAACCTGAAATAGCTGCATCTGTTACATTGATCTAATTTTAAAAATAGAACCAAACCAAAAACAAATATCAGAGTAGAATTATTAAATTTACAAAATGTATAGCAGCAAATTTACATTTTACTACAATTAGTTATGAATAAATAAATAGATAAACAGATGATAAAGACATCAGCCTGGGGACCTGGAACTGAATTCAAATTCAGAAATCCATAGAAACTTTTGGGTAGTGTGTCCCAGATATATTGGCACTATGCCTCATCATCTGTCCCATAATCTAGAACCATAAGATTTATGATGATGTTTATTTATTCCTTTACATATAAAATGTGAAACTTAGTAAGAAACAAAGAATAAGTTATTTTAATAGTGGAAACCTGCAGTCAGAATGAAGTCATCAAAGAGTTTAACATTTTGTATCCAGACTGCAGTGTGTGTGGTTGGTAAGAAGTGTGGGTGCAGCCTGTTAAACACTTCAACAACTTCACAATGACTGCAAATCCCCAGTATCAAAGAAATTCTTTCATCCTTACTCAGTACCATGCTTTACCCATAAAGGAATAAACAAAGATCAAACCATAGGAGTTATTATATCTGCTAATAAACAAACTTTTTTCTAAAATATATGTCAAAAGTGACAATGGAATAAAAATATCCAAACAATTACTATTTAGTTAACTGTGTAAAAGCACACTTATCTATCTTTAATTTCAACAAGTATAGAAATTGAATGCCAAATATAGTTTATCAATCTCATTTTCTCTAGATATAAGTTATTACTTAACTAATATATTTTTACTAGCATTTTAACTTTCATATATTCAAATTTTTGTAAACATTTAAACTTTTATCTTCTTTAACAGAACATAATTAATATATCATGTAAGAGTTCATATTTGAAAGCTGCAGAAAGCTAAGTACACTATCTTTAAAAACAAAATTTAGATAATCATATAACTAAGATTAGACTTTAATTTAAAACAAAATTAATTCTTGAAAACATTCCAACATAAAATATTAAATATATAAAATGGCAATGTGAAATTTAAGGTATTTTACAAGAGCTACTTCCAAAATCAGGAAGTCTGAGTCATTGGTGATAGTGACATTTGGAAAGATGCCAACGCCATTTCATAACAATTATTATAAAGCATTTAATTATGAAATATAATCTATACACATGTGTAATTTCTTCAAATATTCAGGACAAGGTTCAAATTACTGAAATTTTAACTTGACTTATCATTTTAGTCATTGTCTTTCAATTAAATAAATTATATGTTAAAATTGATTTTAAAAAAAATTTCTCTAACACAACTTGAAATTTGTAATCAGTTTTTATGATAAATAATATGACACAAAAGATGACGTATCTGGCAATTCCATACAAAAAGTAGTTTGAATTACATTTGTCTTAATAAATTTGACTTCTTCGTTCTTAACTATATTAATTTTATTAAATGGAATTTTTATGCAACTTAGCACTTAATGGATAATTTAATTATTATAAAAATGTTGTCGTTGAAGAAAATAATTTGGCATGAAACAGCATAATGTATTTGATGACATTGACAATTATATAATTCAGAATGAGTTACATTATTGATTGAATATGGCACAATATAAATTGTATAGTTAATCAATAACTCAGTGTAATTTCTGAGAGAATTGTCAATGTTTAACAGTTGTTTACTTCTGTTAAATACAGGGTCTCTCAAAATGAATGTTACCATTTTAAATTACTGTATTTACATTAATAATTATCCGAGAAGTATACAACATACACCAATTGATAGAGTAATCTGAGTTTCATCTCCCACATGCACTCAAATGTCTTGTCACCTATCAATACTAACACTAGGAAGCAATAAACAAAAACCAGAACATAGAAGGCATTTTGCATTCTTCAGTTTGCAAAGTCTGAATCACTTGTCATTGTGCAGCATAAGTAATCTGCAAGATTGATACTAGATATACTGTAGAGAGCATTAGTAGTAGTATCAATCAGATGTGTGACACAAGGTTCACAGACATAGAAATTGCAATGGACAAATGTGAAACTTGGGTGATTTTTCAATGTTTTAATGTACATTACAATATTCTCAGATAGTAATTAACCTTGCTACCATTATAAATTATTGTAATTTTCATTTTGGAAGACTATATGCATTATGCTGATAGGTATGCAATTTTTGAATAATTGTTGTATTATTTGAACAGATCTACAGATATAATGAACACCAAGGTTAAAATGCTACATCAAATCATCATATATTTAAAAGGCTTATTTTGAAGGAAACAATCTTGTCCAACCTACAAGTATTACAGTTTTAAATTCTAATTTTGTTTTTTCAGATTATCAAATTAAATTAATTCAAATGCTCCATTCTAAATTTTATAATCAAAACAAGTAAAACAGCAAAACCATATTTGGGACAAGACTATGTCATGGAGACTCACTACTAAGTGAAATCACTTTGACACTCAAGGCGGGTCTCGTTACCATTCTCCAATCTTCTTTGGTATTGCTGCTTTTGGGCGCGATCATTCAACTTCGCCGACCACAACCACGAGGTTGTCCATGATGCATCTTCAATGAAATTAACCTATCCAATTTCAAAATTTTTCTTCGTTGCATGTCAGCCCGGGTTAAATTTTTGTTGATGCATAACGAAAATTTCCAGTTTTTGAAAAAAATAATCGTGGCTATTGTATTGTCCGAAATTATTTTTGTTTTTTGCACAAATAATATACAGTTTAACCCAATTATAATGTCATCGGACGTAACAACAACCCTAATATAAATGTCAAATTTTTATCGGTCCCACAATTTTACTATACTAGATAATGTTAAATAAACCCACTTGTAACAACATAAAACCATTTTAACATTATATTTGAAGCACTCCCAAATTTACAAAATTAGATTACAAATTTTATTTAACATAGAAGAAACTACATGTTCAGTCCTAAGGTCGGAGTTCACTTCTTAGAATGACTGTGGGTGTACTCTCCCCACCTGACTTCAATGGGTGAGGTGGCTGTTTTGCCTGTTTGTAGAAGAGGGTCGCCATTTTGCATTTTATTTTGACTCTGTTCTCAGTCCCTGACTACATAAAAATCTGGATTTTTTTATGCACAGATGATTTGGGCACTTAATACTCTGTGCCAAATATCAACTCTCGACATGTACTCCTTCAAACCTCTATGCTGGTAACATAAAATGGCAGTATGATTCTATAAACAAGACAGTCTTGTCAATTACTATCAGAAAATGACAACTTCTACATAAATGAATAAAATAATTTTGTTTATTTTTATAATTTTGTACTGTTAAACTATTTTTTATTATAAAATGTATACATCAATAAATGTTTGTGTACTTAAATTGATATTTTTCACTTGGAAAATATTTGAGTAACAGCTAATTAACAAATAAAAAAATCCAGCACCAGCAATCAGTTGCTTAACTTTCCAGGTAACAACACTTTAAAACTAATATGATACAATCTCCTATATCTTCCAACCCTCTCAACCTTTAACCATCAAAATTTAAAAGCAACAATACCTCTAATACACAAACCCTCTGCAAAATTTCAGAAATTTTTGACAAAAGGCACAGGAATTATTTGCTTCAAATTGGCTGAATAAAATTTTGCCCCATATACTAACATCAAAACATACAGAAAAAAAATCTCAAATTACATTACTTGATGTTTCAAGGACCCAAGTCTAAAATTGTAAAAATTTCAGAAGGTCATTTTTTGACTGATTACCATACTTTCTCTCTGTTATATATAACAGCCAGGAAAGTAAAAATTACTGGTTCCTATTTATAATATAATTTTTCTTATTATACTAAAACCTTGCTAAATTGAACTGCATTAACTCTACATTATCAACTGGACACAGTACATAGGGTTTAGATTTTGTTAAGATGAAATTGTCATTATTTACCTCTAACCCATTTTTTCCATGTACCATACCCTCTATACATGTTCTATGTATCCTTTGATAGATCTATGATCTTCATTTTCTCTTATATTCTGTATGAATACAGACAATTAACATAAACACTATTGCTCCTTGCTGAACATAATACCACATGATTACAATCTGCATTGACATCCTTTTACTTATATAGTATGTTATCATTGCTCTGATTAGGACACAAGAAAGCATCTTGACAATGTCCTCAAAAGAATCACACTATGTACACTGAATTTGTTTCCAAAATAGGATTCAAATATATGAATTGATAAAGAAAGAACAGCCCTTAATATAAATTTACTGCCAGGTCAATATAGCTAATGTAAAATACAAAAGAAATGAGAGTTCAATTCTAATAACTTGATAAAAAATGAATAAGGTGGTAGAAGGTATCAACTTGTCACTATAGGAATCCTGGTGTGAATCTAAAATCAATTAGACCCATTAAATTTTCACTAATTGTTTGTTATAGACATGTCTGATGACATCACTCACACTGTTATGAGTATGAACAAATCAACAAAACATAGTCACTACACCCAATATAGTTTAAAGCTATACACCAACCAATACCAAATATTATCGGGCTAGAAATAGCTATAATATTAACCCTTTAGTATCTTTTGTTTATATCCAAGGAATCATCTT